AGACAGCACCTTGACTATAGTCAAGCAGCTCGTTCATCTCAGGGAAACCCCTGAGCTCCTCAAAGCTGTCTGGCCAGAGGTGGAACTGTAGATCTGATCTGCCAGTCCTGCAGTGAGGAGTCAGTGAGATCTGTCACTCAGCACTAGCAGCCAGCTCACCATGGCTCACACGGCCGCCCACGTTCCTGGGTGGGTGCTTTGCCTTACCCATCAGCTTTAAGCACCTGAGGTAGAATCCAATATTTTTAGCTTGAGCAGCTGTGGCATGTTCTTCTGTCTCCTCATTTGTAGTTTGTACAGCTGGTAGCAGGGACAGAATTGCAGACTGTTGCCTTTGTACCTGTTTACATGATGGAGAACTGGTAAAAAGGACCCGGGGAACCGGGTGCTGAGGGTCACCTCCAGTGAGCTCCTCCTGGGCTCTGGGGTCTTTCGTGACCCTCTCTGTTGGGTCAGCTTCTCCGTCTCAGTGTCCCTTACAGCCTTGTGTTGGCTTCCACCTCTAGGTTGTTTTTGAATTCTAGATGCAGCAGCCCTGGGTGTGGATTGCAGTTGATAATGGGATCACAAGCTGAGAGTTGTTCTCTTTTCTTTTCCAGCACTGAGCCTTATCCTGGGAGGTCTGCTCCTGTAATTCTACTTTTAGCTTTAGTTCTGGGGTCAGGGGGAGCAAATAATTTGAATATCCGAGCATTGGTTTTCAATAGTAGCCTCTTCAATGAGAAGCCACAGGCGTTGACGTAGGCTCCAAGTGTTCTAGACTGGAAGCCTCCAACCCAGTAATCCTTGCTCTGGATTCCTGCAGCTCCCAACAGAACACCCCCTTTGTCCTGGGCATGCACCTCTTATCCAGTGCATTTCTGGGTCTCAAGTATCCCAGATGTGGTGTTTGTCCTGAGTCATCAACTGTAGAGGGCCCACATAGCTGCCACTCTTTTTGTGGGTTGCACTGCTCAGTGTCCCTATGAACACAGTTCATTTGCCCCCTCCCCCTTTTTTTTAAGCCCCTTTCCAGCAGGCTGTAGCTCCTACTCTGTGATGGCGTGGTGCGTTTTTTTCCCGCAGAGGTTTGTGGCTTGTTCTGCTGCGTCTAGTTGAGGGTCTGGAGGTGGCAGTCTACTGCCGACTCTCCTGCCCGTGGCTGTTTGCTTCCTGCCCAATCTTCGTACTAGACACACACTCTGAGTTTGGTGGGAACTTAATGACAAGTCATTCACTACGATACGTGTAGCATGTCTCACCCTTTTCTGGGTATTTTTACAGGAATTGCATCTTAGGTGACTTGGAATTTCCCAGCCATTTCAGTGAACAGGAGCCACTGGGAAGGCCCAGGAGGGCAGGCGGGAAGTGCAAGTTGTCTCCATTCAGCTGGAGAAAATGTGGTTGCACTAAACACTTTATATCCAGCAAACAAGCTTCCAACAGGGAGACAGGAGGATCAACACTGGCTAAAGTGAAAGACACATTCTGGCCACATGCCCATGATGAGGAGAATGGACCCATCCTCACATGAGCAATTTGTCTCAAAGGCAACATCAAAGTTGCCGACAAGGGGAGCTGAGGTATAGATTCCTAAAGAACGTGGTGAGAGAGAGCAAAAGAAAGAGGTGTGTGTCTGTTCAAGCGAGGGGAGCCCACTCCTGTCTGTGCTCACCACACAGGTGAGACCAACCCCTTGATGGAGCAGAAGCCCCCCTGGCGAAAGTGACAGGTCCCTGACCAGGGGCTGAATTTAGACTTCTATTTATGGGACTGTTCTGATGGTCTTCGGTCTAAGCAGTAACACACAGGTGCCAACGTTAGAGAACAAACGTACTGCTTGAGTCAGACAATGTCAATACATCACTTCAAACCTTGAACAGTGGGAGCTGAGGGTGGGCAGCTTAGTTCTTTGGGGGGAAACTAACCCAATAAAAGCCTCCATGCTGCTCAGAAATATGTGAGTGAGATTAACACCTAATTAAATGTAAGTCCAGAAGCAACAGAAAACATGTTCAGTGAATTTCCTCCAAATGTGATATAGAACACAGACCTGGACTGAGAGGGGTGGGTGGGGCTGCCTGTGGAGACCAGGGCCGGGAGGCTGGCCTGCCTCGCTGAAGGCCTCCATAGTCTTGGCGGGGGCTTCCATTCTGCACTTAAGAACGCCTCCCTGACAGGAGAGATCTCTTGCCTGGGCTATTTTTCTCTTGGAAGAAGGTGCTTCAGCACGGGGTCTGCGGGTAGAGAGGACGACCTGCAAGGCTGGGCATCTTGCAGACATCTGAGGTTTCTGAGTTCTCACACCCATTTTTTATGAAAACATGTGAAGCTATGAGACATGAGACATTTAGTACTTTGCCCAATGCTGTGATTTTCATTCAGTTTTTTTTTTAAATGTAGAAACTAATCACTCTGAGCATCTCATGGGAGAACGTAGGGAGAGTCAGTGTTCCTCAGTGAGTGTATACACCAGGCAGCTTTCAGTTCTGACTCAGGTCTTTCCTGCACACTCATGAAACCTCACTTGTGTCCACTCTATTCACTCACTTGGAGGCCCCATGTCCAGTCTCTGCACTCATGGCCCCCCCATTCTCCTGGTCATAGTGAAGTGCCTGGTTCTAGTCAGCTCCAGCTTGGAGCTGACTTATGACTACTGAGACACAGTGACTGGTTCACTCCTGACTTACTGCTATGTTGTGGGGAAGGCAGGAAGTGGACTGAGTGGCTTTGGGGCTGACCTTGTACAGTGCTAAGATATCTCACTCACAGCCATGTGGTCAGTTCCAAAACAATCATTGATTTGTGATTCACCAGATATAGAGTGGAGAGCAGAACAGGCAGATTGACTGCTGAGGGGGGCAGTGGTCAGGTTAGGAGAGGCCTGCTGCACCATGTGGGTCACCTCCAGGGCGGGGATCAAACTCATGCTGCAGTGGCTGCTGATAGCTTCACAGTGCTGCACTTTAACCCCTTGTGCCACCAGCACATTTAATCTTTTAGTTTAATCTAATCAGAGGCCAAAGGTGTGCCACTTCTGTTTTGTTCTCTCCAGAGGTGTGTTTCTACTCATACAGGAAAACAGATAATCGAGAACAGGGGGATCTTAAGAGAGTTTGACATTTTTAGTAAAGACAGAGAGAAAGAATAAAAGGATGGTCAAATATGTTCTGGCTGTTTCTAACAGGATTTTATCTCCAACAGTTGTAGCAATAGGTATTTTGTTCCTCTGTAGTATGACCCACAATCCAAGCCCTAAACCTGTGAGGCCTGATGTGTTTTTAAATAATTTTTGTTTCAGATTTGTTTTGGGAGAGGTAATAAATTTCATATGCTATACATTCTGTAATGCCTGCAGTATGATCTTGTACTAAAATAGAATATTTACACAGCAAAACATATATATGGGAGAAATAAATGCTTTGCAAAGTCTCAATTCTACTTACATTGAGTTTTGCTGTCAAGTGGGTTGGGTCAAATTTAGAACAAACTACTACTTTTAAGAGAGGTTTAGCTTTAAAATTTTGAGTTAGGGACTATGGGTTTATGTCTCTGCAGTTTTCCAAACCCTCCAAGACTTTATGTATAGCTCCAACTCTTTCTAAATTCATTAGGTAATTTGTCTCATACATTACGCATTATTAGTCTGAACTATACTCTTTCACACTAAAAATGATACCAAGAGGATTTGCTCTCCTTTTCCTGGCAGGGATATAGGGAGTTTATAATTTTTTGGTTAAGAAGAGCATTCCAAAGCTTAGGTTCCTCTTAAAAAGTTGAGCCTGGCCTTAGCACTGGTTCAGTCAGCAAGCTTCCTCTGGGAGCAAGTACAATGACGTGATTCTGACCGAAACAAAAAGAGAATTGACAGTGTACACTGGGAACAGCAGGAGTAAAAAAACCTTTCAGATTGAGCCTAGGGCTACTTTTTAAGACTTCTCAGCTTTAAAACTGTGTCATGCTGCTGGAGATCAAGGTTCAGGCAAGGCTGAGGCTCAGCGCCCACCAGGGAGCTAGGAGACAGTTGATACAATGTGGACCCCAAGAGGTAGGGGATCGCTTTCCACAGGACAGGCTGCTATTATGAAAGGACAATGCACTTTGATAGCAAAACAAACCTACTAAAAGTCCTCCTGGATTTCAGGATACAGCCTCCTTCCCCCTTGAACAATGTGGAATCTTTGTGTAAATTTTGATCCTCTCAAAGTTTAACTGCAGTTATCCCTCTGTATCCAAAGCAGGATTGGCTCTGGACACCTCCCTATATCTCTGCCCCCATACTGAAATCCCAGCATGCCTAAGTTCCTTATAATGGGCCCCGATAGCTGCAGGTTCTGAATCTAAAAATTCAATCAACATCTGTGAATGGCTGGATCCATAAATATGGACACTGTGGCTATGGAGAAGCAATGGTATTTATTGAAAACAAAACAAAACATCACCCCAGAAAACTGAGTGCAAGTGGATTCAGGCAGTTCATGCCACATTGCTTATGGGTCAAAATATTCAAAATATTTCTCACTCCTCTTTGTGGGGATAGGTGAAGTCCTCTTTTCAAGACTATCCTTGTACAAAACTTACATATTCCCCATGCCCACGCCCATTGTTTTCACCTAGAATTTTCTAGAATATTCCTTATCTTTCTGGAGTGCATGCTTTTCATGAGATTTTATATTTTCAAAGTGATCTTCTAATGAGGTGTATTTCCCAGCCTGGCAAAGCTGAGTGAGGTAAACTTGGTGGTGGACACTATGTCATTAATAAAAAATGCAAATACTTGGCCTGAAATCTACACAGGCACACCGAGCCTACAGCACATGGATCAAGAGCCAAGAAAATGAAGACAGGAAATTAAAATGGACTTCCAGCCCTCATTTACTGCTTTAATTTTTTTAAAGATCATTACTGAATTCCTTCAGCATCCTCTTTCTTTAAAACGCTTTTTCAAATTGCAACTTTTACAGGCAGGTATAGACACACGCAGCATTTCAGACGCAGTGGGTGCTAGTAACATCTCTTACCTGATACTCATACTCTGTGAAGGGCAGGAGTTCCGAGTCCATAAAAGAGCTGGAGCTTCCATTATAGGTGAGCACAGGAGTTGACCTTCCAGCCTGGGTTGCTACCTGTCTTCTGTATACTTCATAATATAAAACTTTTCCATTGGGCCGAAGGGGTCCCGTCCAGAGGAGGGAGACCATTGGCTGGAATCTCCCTGGAGCCATCCAGACCTCTAGTTGAGGGGGTGGTTGCAGCAGTGGTGTAACCTCGGGGGTCTGTATGGATGTCCAGCCACTGAAGGCACACCCCAGAAGGGTGCAGGCTTGAATTCGGACCTCATACCTGCAGGACAAAAGGCGGAAATGGCCCATTATTGTCAAAAAGGATTTCTTCATAGGAAGCCAAGTGTTTTCACACACACACACACACACACACACACACACACACACACACACACACACACACACTCACACAAAAGACAGACCCATTACATTTATTCCTATTTGCAGCTACCCTTAAAAAAACTAAGAAAGTCATATTTCCATGGAAGCTTGAAGACATTTTAAAGCCTCCTGTCTGTGTGGAAAGGTTGGGCATAATCCTGCCCTAATCAAAGAAAATGGACTAAATCAACTTTCCAGATGCTTTCTAGCATGAAAGTCTCTGCGGGATTATTACATAGAAAGATGAAGAATGCGGGTGTTGGGGAGTCGGAACCTGTTTTCAGCAGTCCTGGGCTGTTCCTACTTCTGCATTTGAAGCTCAAAGACCCTCAGGATGTTTCTAGGTCATGTAGAAGCCTCGTGGAGTGAAGGCCTCAGTGGTAATAAATCCCCTACCTGATACCTGACATCTTAAAACAGGCTCCCTTACATCACACAAGGACCTTGTGGGGCCAAAGTGAACCCAGCTACACAGGAGATTATCAATCACGGAGACACCTTATCACCCTCCAGTTCAAGCCCAACAATCAATTATGCTTTGCCTCATGGCTGATCTCCTGTCACTTGGAAAGGTCTATACACATAGCAGGGGTGGCTGCCTTCCCACAAAAGGGGCTTTGGGTTAGTACTTAGTGCCTGTGGCTGCAGTGAGGGCTCTTCCCTCTGTTCTCACACCCCACTGATTTGATCGCACCTCTAATTTTCCCGCAAGCCTCTACCATCTTTCTCTCTCCATTTATTTCCCTGGGTTCTGGCCTTTGTCTTTTCTGTTGCTGGCTCTCTGTTTTGCTTCTCTGCTCTCTGTTCGTTTGCTTGTGTTCATTCCATTTTCCTCTCCCCCTTCTTGACTATGTTGCTCTCTTCCTTGGTGATCTCTTTTCATCCTGCTCCTCCTTCCTTCTCTTCCCATTCATGACCATCTCCACAGCAAGATCACAGGGCTACCAGTTTACAAGCGCACAGACCCACAGTTTACAAGGGCCAGTTAATTCTAAGGTGCTCTGAAGTGTTTTGGTTTCCCTATGCACTATCCATATTCTGAATTACTTGGGGTTAAAAATGTCTGGGTGAGGCCCTCCCTGGGTTAAAGCACTGCACTGAGAAGCTAAAGCCACTTCCACATGAGTTCGATTCCCGCCTGCCCCGCAGGTGACCACATGGCGCGGCAG